GGTCACATGATGTGTTGAATTAAGAGAATTCTCCCTTCTTGACTGCAAAAAAGAAGGGTCCTTCTTCAGGTGTCTTCAAAAGGACTGAACCACTTTGGACCTCTGCTACTCATTATTAGATTAATTAAGAGAAACTAAGCTAAAAACTCTAAAAAAGGTACCAAAATTGGTTGTTACATGACGTGTTGGTTCTATCTTCTTCACTTTAGAGGAAAAGGGTTCTTCTTCAGGTGTCTTCAAGAGGATTTGACTGCTGCTTTCATACAAAAGCAGTGGCTCCGGTCTCCAACGGTCATACACACAAGCCTCCTACAAACTGCTCCAATCAACAGTGGTGCTGAAGAACCTTGACAACCAATAATTAGAGCAGCATGCAGGAGGACCTGTGAGACACCTGGGGATCCAGGTCACTACTTGTGTGTGAGAGAAGCTGTCCACCTCTCCAGGGTAAATGGTATTTTAAACCCTACTGCAAAAAAAATCTAAATGAACAACAAATTCATAACTGTACTGTTTACACAGCCTGACTATATTACAGTAATAAATATATAGAGGGTTCAACGGGCTTTACGATGGTCATATATGAGCTAATAATTGGTCAAGAAATGTATTCTTAGATAACAAAGTAGTCAGGTTCACCTTTATGGGCTAGGCATGGACAATTATTTTCTTCTAAAGCCCTGTGATAAGTTGATCTGCCCACACAAGCAGTGTATTGTTCCTGTTAGGGCCATGGAGTTACTGAAGTGTCCCCATGGGGCCTGTCACTCTTTACCTTTCCTGTATGGTCTTTATGGTTAACTTTTTAAATTAAATTAAATTAGTATAATAAAAGTACAGAACCTCCAACCTGGTCACTGATAAAAAGTCACAGATACAGCTTTTATCAGAAGATTTATCAGAAGATTCCCCCACTGCAATGACTGGAAGTTGGAACTCAAACAGAAAATAAGCAACCAATGTGATTAAAGAATAATTCCAGATATCGGAATGTTATACATAGTTAGATGGGTCCAGCCTAATAATAATAAAGCTGCAACCAAGGACAGGAGGGGTAATAACAGCTTGACTGAAGTTCCAAATTGGTACAAGACCCTAGATATTGAAAACCTATTGGAACAATGTAACTATGTATACAACATATCTGGTCGATGCCCCTGGAAGCTGGAAATTACTGAAGTAGACACCACTACATCAGTGATCTCCACTTGCTAAGGGGCTGCTCTCCTTCATTGAAAACACAGAGGGGTTTATTTACTAAAGCTGGAGAGTCCAAAATCAGACTCCCTTCTGCATAGAAACCAATCAGCTTCCAGGTTTCATTGCCAAAGCTTCATTGAACAAGCTGAGGTTAGAATCTGATTAGTTTCTATGCAGAAGGGAGTCTGATTTTGGACTCTCCAGCTTTAGTAAATAAACCCCAGAAGGTCAGTTGCTTGACTCAGGCACAATTTAGAGAATGCTTTCTATATTCTGAATGAATACAAAACATTCTCTGATTGGATGAGGTGGAAAGGCCCCACCGTAGTGATGTCACATTTTTCACCAAATCCAATCAGAATATTTCACATTGTCAGAAAATGCAAAGCATTCTGTGAATGGTCCCTGTGTTGAATTGCCTACTTTCTGTTTTCAAACTCCACGTTTAGGAGCGTTTATAAGCGTTCAGCATTTTTTTCTGCCTGAAAGCTCCTCTCAAAAATGCAATCCAGCAAGGGTCTTTTTTTCTGCCTTTCAAAGCTGAGCTTAAAATATGCCTCTTACAATATGCCTCTAATCCTGTTAATGTGCATGGACACAAAGGATGACATTAAGCGGCTTCTACAAGCAGGACAAAATGTAAAACTCTGTAGAAGCAGCATTTTTAAGCCCAATGTGCATGGACCTATGAAATGCATTAACCACTTGCCGTCCGCCTGCTGTTTATAAACGGCAGGACGGTGGCACTCCAGGGGCGGGTTTCCGTTCATAAACGGCACCCGCCATTTCTAGCTGTGCGCGCTCCCTGGGAGCGCGCAGCACCATGATCCGGTGCCCGCTGTGTCCTCCGGACACAGTGAAACACCGATCGTCGGACAGGATCCCGATCATGTGATCACTGATTGGCCAATCAGTGATCACATGCAAAGTAGTAAGCAAGATGTCACTTGTGACATCATTGCTTACTATGTGTGAAATCTGTGAATGATCACAGAGGTCACATAGTACAGGGCTATTCACAACAGCCTTGTACCATGTGACAAGTTATGACCAATCACAGCTCACTCAGTATTTCTCAATGGCTGCAAGAATGCAGACAGAGAGAAGGAGAAATGATTGCTTTCACATCCTATATGGGTGTAAAAGCAATCACTGTAAATAAAAAAAAAATCTTCATCACCCCCCACAAGTAGTACAGTGTCACCATGGTGACACTGTACTGCTAGGGTGACAGTATGTAAAAAAAAAAATCTTCATCACCCCCCACAAGTAGTACAGAGTCACCATGGTGACACTGTACTGCTAGGGTGACAGTAAATAAAAAAAACAAAAAACATAAATAATAATATTAACAAATAAAATAAAAATGTATAAAAAAATGTTTAAAAATTATAATTTGTGGTTATAAACTAATTTGGCTTATTTTTTTTTTTTACTAAAAAGATAACGGAATACATACCGGCCAAGATTTATGATGAAAGATTATTTATTTGCAAAATTTTATAAGAAAAACACTTTTTTTCAAAATTTTTGGACATTTCATTTACATAGCAAAAAAAATAAAAATCCCAGCGGTGAATAAATACCACCAAAATAAAGCTTTATCTGTCTCAAAAAAAATGGTAAAAAATTCATATGGGTACAGTGTTGCATGACCGCGCAATTGTCATTCAAAGTGTGATAGCACTGAAAGCTGAAAATTGGCCTGGACAGGAAGGGGGTGAAAGTGTCCGGACAGGAAGGGGGTAAAAGTGTCCAGACAGGAAGGGGGTAAAAGTGTTTGGACAGGAAGGGGGTAAAAGTGTTTGGACAGGAAGGGGGTAAAAGTGTTTGGACAGGAAGGGGGTAAAAGTGTTTGGACAGGAAGGGGGTAAAAGTGTCCAGGACAGGAAGGGGGTAAAAGTGTCCGGACAGGAAGGGGGTAAAAGTGTCCGGACAGGAAGGGGGTAAAAGTGTCCGGACAGGAAGGGGGTAAAAGTGTCCGGACAGGAAGGGGGGTAAAAGTGTCCAGACAGGAAGGGGGTAAAAGTGTCCGGACAGGAAGTGGTTAAAGAACATATCCATAAGTTTCCAGTAAATGGTAGCCTTCTGAGTGGTCAGTCGTGAACAAGCCCCTCCCGGTGGATGTGATGTAAGCTGCTTGGAACCAAAGCAGGATTGTATAACATTTGTGATAGTAAAATAATACATTTTTATAGAGATCTCTATAGCAGACCAAAAAGAGATACTGTATATCAGGAGAAATTAGGGACAGAGGGATTTGGTTCAAAAACAAGAACGGTCCCTCCATATAAGTGACAGTTAGGATCTCTGGTTTCACTGATCTATTAAGATACTTTCCCTCGACCACTATCCAGATCCCACAGCAGGCGGACATCTGTATAAGAAACAATATCTAAAAGAATGTGGCGCTACTCATAAATCCCAAAAACACTATAATAAAATAAAATAAAAATGAAAATAAAAAGTGCCACTCTAAATAAACCTTGATAAAAATTAAATAATATATACAATAGGCCACGTGAATCAATAATATATATAATAATCAAGTGGTCATGGTGATTAAAATAAAACTAATACATATATACCATGACATAAAATAGTGCATAAACTCAGTGTATTGACAATTTTATATTATACCAAAAAAATGTGAATACTTCTCAACGATATAACCAACACATGAATACGGTTTCAAATAAATAATAATAATGATGAAAAACTGTGGTAACACGTGCAAATACAGTGCAAATACCACACTAAAAAACAACTAAATACATATAATGTGTAAAAAATGTCCGATAAGTGGGTGACACCACTACTGCAATTCCAAACACGTGTGACCATACAGTGAAGTGACTCCAGGTGCAGAAACTCCAACAAACGACTAGATTAGCCTCTCACCTCCAGGCTTCGACCCGTAAGGGTCAAAGCGTATAGTGGGATCAAACCCTCAGATCCTTTCAGCATATACTGGTGTCCACTGGTCCGCTCTCCCCATACACAGATCTCCTTCTCTAGGGGTCGACAATCAAGCAGTGGCTCCAGGCAACCAAGGTTTGCTTGCTTGTATAATGGGGTTGGGTTGGTTGAGGCTCTGGCCTCTACTAGAGCTGTGAGGACCTTGCTGAGTCTACTAATCTGGGAAATCTATTATCCTCAAGTGGAAGTCCTACTTTGGATTTCTGGAAATTGCTAGCAAACTCTGTAATCCCCCTATACAAGGAGGTGTATCGCTCTCAAACTGTTCTACCAAATTTCACAGAATCTGGGATATTTGGCTTGAATCAGATGCCATTATGGTAGATAGACTGGAATCTGAGGCTGCCACTGGCATGCCCTGATTTCTTGTTAAACTGTGGTTGGGTTCTGGGCCCTCCTACGATGGCCCCCTGGTGTGGGTTGTCTTCTCCTTGCTGCACTGTCCAGTTGAGTAGGTTTCCGCATGGTTGGAGTTAAGGGACAATGTAAATTCAATGTATAGAGTCCTCCGTAATTGTCCTGGGCGGTTTTGGGTCACATCCTGTATTTTATGTGAGCATAGTGAGGAACTGGCTGATTGTTAGGCAGGCCACACGCAAAGAAAGTTTCTTTTGCTTGATTCCCCCATCAACACAGAGAGTGTTGACAGGGGAATCCCTCCTGCGGGCCCATTTTATTCTCCAGGAAGACATCCCCAGCGGGAGTAGACAGGGATTATTGCTAGCGGCTATAGCAGCCACTAGCTATAATCTGGCAGGCTGCTTGTACTCAAGTTAATTGATTGATCAGCTTGAGTACATTCAGCCCAGGGGCGGACTGACCATTTGGAAACTCGGGCCCAGGGTCAGTAGGGGGCCCCATGAGATGCCCCTGGTACCTTTTTCATAGGCTTTTTTGAGTTTGAGCAAGGACACAGGGGCCCCATGATCCCCTATTGCCCGGGGGCCCCATGAGTTGTCAGTCCGCCCCTGATTCAGCCTGCCCATACATAGCTCGAATCTCGGCCGATTCCTGCTGAACTGGCCAAGATTCAAACAGTTTATAGTGTTTCCTTTTACTTGTTTTTGCTATGTACCTTGTTGTACTATCTCGAGCCAAGGTATGCCCAGAGGCTCTGTTTTGTAATTCTTTTTCTGAAATTCAATAAAAAAGAAGTTTAAAAAAAAAATAATTTGCTTTATTGAAGAAATCCTTGCACTTGTCTTGTTGTTTTATAGTTTATGCAGAGCTGAAGTCTTTATTAGCTGCAATTGTGTATATTGGCTGAACCAGACACTTAGATTGATTTGTTGTCTGTGTCCACCCTTGATTTATGCCACTGCCTACCCCCAACAAGTGACAGATGTCATCTGATGAGCATTAGTGTCCACAAATAGCTTCTTTTTCAAATTACTTTTAATGACTGAGGGATTGCAGATATTAAGGCTTGCAATTATTTCAAACCCTGAAATTCCAAAATCTATCCCCCCTCTCCTCCCCGCACTGACACATGAAGCTAAATTATTTTTGTTGTTTTTAGAAATGTTTATAGTCTTTGTGAAATTGATTAGAGGTTATGCTATATGGTCAGTAAAGAGGTAAGATGATATGGTTTGGTTTTGTATGTCATGGTATGGAATGGTATGATATGGCATGGCATGGTATGGTATGGTGTGGAGTGGAATGGTATGGTATGGAATGGTTATGGTATGGTATGGTATGGCATGGTATGATATGTATGGTATGTATGGTATGGTATGGTATGGCATGGTATGATATGTGGTATGGTATGGTATGGCACGGTATGGAATATGGAATGATATGTATGGTATGGTATGGCACGGTATGGTATGGCATGGTATAGTATGGAATGGTATGGAATGATATGAATGATATGTATGGTATGGTATGTATGGCATGTATAGTATGGAATGGTATGGAATATGGAATGATATGTATGGTATGGTATGGCACGGTATGGTATGGCATGGTATAGTATGGAATGGTATGGTATGGTATGGAATGATATGTATGTGGAATGGTATGGTATGGAATGATATGGATGGTATGGTATGGATGGCATATGGTATGGAATGGTTATGGTATGGTATGGTTATGGTATGGAATGGTATGGAATGGTATGGTATGGTATGGTAATGGTATGGTATGGTGTGGAATGGTATGGTATAGTATGGAATGATATGCATGGCATGGTATGGTATGGTATGGCATGTTATGAGGATATGCGATTTATACAAAGGAATATGGATACATGTACTAGTTACTTTATTTGTGGATTTCCTTAATAGTTTATTTTTGTTATCTTGGGAAGAAATAATTGGATTCCATATAGCAATCCATACCATACATGGAGGTATGTTAGGATATGACTATTGACACATCTAGTTATGTATCTAACCTCTAATAACATTTTATAATATATATGCTTTTAGATCAGCTGACTATATCCAACCCTAATCAGTGCGGATTGGTGGGAGAGAGGCAATAGAGACCACCTAGGTTTATTGATGCAAGTGGATGTAGTATGCATTTAATCTCCAAGTAATCTCCAAGAGGTTTCCATATAAAGATGAAGGAGATACACCCCCATATAGTAGTTTATGATTTATATTTATGACCATGAAGATCCTTGTTCAGATGATTCAAGTGAACAGGAAGAAATCACACTATGTGCTATGCATCAAGTACTATAGAAGGATATACTTTGTTCATTTTTCATTGCAGAGGTTTTTACAACCACTTTAAAATAACAATATGATCCAAGTCATATATGAAGACAGACAGCTTTTCCATACTACAAACTTATAGATTGAGCACTGTATCATATACTGCTGCCTCCTCAAGCATGAAAGGTGTTGAGCGGCTCTATGGCTTGTCAGCAGGTGATATGAACTGTTACTGACAAGCAATATTTATTTTTACTCTGACAAACTAGAGCGGACGCTACTTATCTACGGCCTGGAAGATACAGAATTATCGGAGCTGCAATCAAATGTTACTGAATAATTTGCCAATGACATCTCTCTGGCCAGATAAAAGGTTGAGTTCTTTCTTACTGGTCAGACACTCCTACAATGGTGAAAGCTAAGGTGCCTTTCTATAGCAGCAACATGGCTCTAGAACTAAAAAAAGATCAGCATATCTGAATTTAAAGGGTCAGTCCAACAAAAACTGATGTTTTAGTTTTTGCTGGATGGTGGAGGGTTAAACCTCTATATGATTCTCTTCTGTACATCAGGTACACTATTGGTAGGATCGTTTTTGCTTGAGTTCTGGGGTCTACACACTCAATGCACCATTTTATTTTGTTTTTGTGTTTAGTAAGGATGGCCTTCATAGACCTATGATTATTTAACAGCAAAAATATGGAACAATAGGCTTGTAAAAATGCTAAATGTTCTGTATCTTGGGCATTCTATGGGTAAGTTTTCTTTGATTGAGTTACAGGGTCTACACACCCAATGTGCCATTTCATAAATTTTTTTGTATAATAAAGGCTTAAATATAGAATGGCCTTCAGAGACCCATGATATTTTAGCAGCAAAAATATGGAAGAACAGGCTTGTAAAAATGAGAAATCTTTTGTATCTTGGACACTCTATTGGTAACATCTATTGGTTGAATTCCAGGGTCAGCATAACCATTGCATTGTTTCATTTTTTTTATATATAATAAAGGCTTGATGAAAAAATGGCTTCTGTAGACCCATGATCATTTAATGACAAAAAAATATGGAAGAGCAGACTTGTAAAAATGAGAAATCGTTTGTATTTTGGGCACTCTATTGGTTAGATCTCTTTTCTTGAGTTCTAAGGGTCTACACACCCAATGCACCATTTCATTTTTTTAAATAATAATGGCTTGACCCAAGGATGGTCTCCATGACCCAAGGATGGTCTCCATGACCCATGATGATTTAATGACAAAAATATGACAAAAAAAGAACAGACTTGCAAAATGTGAAATCTCCTGTATCTTGGGCATTCTGTTGGTAAGGTGTCTGTGCCCAAGTTACAAAGTCTAACTAAGAAATCAGCTGGGTCAGACCGGTAAAAGTATTCTTTATAATGAACTTCAAATGCGCTGCAATATTAAGTTAAAGTACACGCTCACTAAAATAGAATCAAGACTGGCACTTGAAAAGTGTTTTCAATATCTGTAAAATGCCCCCCCAACCATATTATAGGTGTCAGGGACCCCAGTGTTGGCCACGATTGCGCACGAGTCTGCGCATGCGCGGTGTGCCCGGCCGCACTAGGAAAGGGTACACTGAACTATAATTGCATTTTATTGGTAACCCCATCCTTGGTAGGTCCCCGCATTGGAGGAGTGTCAGCAAGCAACTACCTAAAATAACAGGTGCTGGATGCTTTTGATTTTAACATACTTAGAACTCTTAAAGTGGAACTTCACTCTCTCAATCAACATCATAAACATAGTAAATAGATAGGAAGGTATTTACTTGTTTTAAATGCTTGTCTTTCCTAGATATACAGAATATAACTGGATATAACATTTAAAGGTAAAGTTGATCCAGGGAATATCTGATTGCCTCTCGGGGGATCAGGAAGTATTTTTTTTCCCTGCAGGAGCAAATTGGATCAAGCTTTGCTGTTTTTTTTTTGCCTTCCTCTGGATCAACTGTGGGTGTAAAATTATAACTTTTTTTTTTTTTTATGGTTGAACTGAATGTAATTTCTCAAACTGAGTGGGAATTCAAGTGTCTGTCTTACCGCCTGATCAGCCTCTGTGTTGCGATGAGAAAGAAAGCACCATCTCCATCCATTTAGATATGGAAGTCTTACAAAGCATCTCAACAAAACCAAAGCGTCTATTGAAGGGGATACTTGAAATCTAACAGCAACCTGTGTGCAGACGTGTAGAATCAGCAATGCAAATATGATTTCTGAGGAAGTTCTAAATGCAAACGATCTCTTTTGAGTAGACGTACCCTTTAAGAACTGATTTTTAAGAGCAGCACATTGACTAAATCTGTCAGCAACAAGACAACCTCCTAGTTTTGCAAAAATTGCACAGCACAGTCAGTCTTCCTGGCTTATAATGCTGTTTTATCAAGCAAAGAAATGTTAAACAGATTTCAGAGTAAAACACAAACTCATTTGAAGACGAAATTACCATTTCTCGTCTGCAATAAAACAGCACACTGCTTAAAATAGATTTTGCACTAAAAAAGTAAAAAATAGTCCTAGTAAAATCTGACATTAGCAAGGTATTATATCTTTCTGCATGCCAGCGAGCAAATATTTACACTGCGCAATATGCCAATGTGTATGCGATGTTACTTAATAAGGAGAATTAAGAAAAGATTACTTTTAGCTTTGAGCTTAACAAAAAAGTCTTATCTCGAAGATGTTTATTCACCAAAGACAACTTGATTTTAATAATTAAAGTAGCAATGATGAATACATTTCTAAACCCAAGGTATCCTAGATTTGAAGATAAGAGGGTTCAAAGAGAAGCACCCACCAGACAGTGACATGTTTAAACTTTATACATCATGCCCTACTCCATTGGCCATTCCCCAAGATTCTATGCAGGTATCAGCTTTCGGAAAGTCAGTATTTGCATAAAATTAGGCATGCCCATTTCCATGTTGGCCATGTGTCAATGTGAGGGCCAGGTGCTAGGTTGCTCAAAGACTGATCACAGCATTGCGGGTTATAGAAGAAACATGCACATTTGACCCATACCTTGAACTTCACTTCATTTCCATGTTGGCCATGTGTCAATGTGAGGGCCAGGTGCTAGGTTGCTCAAAGACTGATCACAGCATTGCGGGTTATAGAAGAAACATGCACATTTGACCCATACCTTGAACTGCACTCATTTCCATGTTGGCCATGTGTCAATGTGAGGGCCAGGTGCTAGGTTGCTCAAAGACTGATCACAGCATTGCGTGTTATA